TTGAATCACAATGTTTAAGGCATAATTTTTATTTCTTTTCAGTGCACTATTGCGCATGCTCTGGAAAAAACGAAATATCCAGATTCCGACATATACTGGAAAAAATACGAGGAGAAATACCATTTCTCGTGTCAATTCACAGCCGACCTGCTGGCCATGAACCATTCGGATTTCATAATCACAAGTACTTACCAAGAAATTGCCGGGACGTGAGTACTCATTTGTTGCTTTCATGATATACCGGTTACTTCCATTTGCCGGTTTCATAAAATCCAATTTTGGCTATTAGATTATGAAGGTAGCAATGTAGCTCCTACGTGACATATAGCAATTTAAGTCGGCTAATTTAATATTTTTTGTAATTTTTAAAATTACGGTCGAGAGGACTAAAATTGCAATGAAATTTAAATTAGAAGACTTAAATCGCTAATCAAAATTCATCCCAAATATATAAATTGAGAATTTTGATTGCCGAAGGATTGGAATTGCAGCAAAATTCTAAATTATAAGACTTGAATGCTATATGTTACTCCAGGCATAAATTGTTATATACCTTCATAATTTAATAATTTAATGAGTTTATAACTCGATTTTGCATTGCTACTTGCTTTACTGTCAGGAAGAGCACCGTGGGCCAATACGAAAGCCATGCGTCTTTCACTCTTCCCGGCTTGTACCGAGTTGTCCACGGAATTGACGTTTTTGACCCTAAGTTCAACATAGTCTCCCCTGGAGCCGATGACTGCATATACTTTCCCTACTCTGAAAAGGACAAGAGGCTCACCTCCCTCCACGGATCGCTCGAGAAGCTATTATTTGATCCTCAACAAAATGACGAACACATGTAAAAATTAAAATAAAAGTCGAATTAATTGCTTATTATCACTCAATCAACTTTTTCAATTACATATTCCTGAATATTCCTTTTTTTCTTGTGGTAATTAAAGTGGCGTTCTGAAAGACCCGTCGAAGCCCATAATCTTCTCAATGGCGAGGCTCGACCGGGTGAAGAACATAACAGGTCTAGTCGAGATGTATGCCAAGAATGCCAAGTTACGGGAGCTGGCTAACTTGGTCGTGGTGGCTGGCTACATTGACGTTAAGAAATCGAGTGATCGGGAGGAAATAGCCGAAATTGAGAAAATGCATGCATTGATAAAGCAGTATGAGTTGGACGGCCAGCTGAGGTGGTTAACGGCACAGACAAACCGTGCGCGTAATGGTGAGCTGTACCGCTACATAGCTGACAAGAGAGGAATTTTCGTCCAGGTCAGTTTTTTTTTTTTTTTTTTCCTTCTTCTGAGATGGATAATAATGAAGATGTCGCCCGATTGGTCATTAATTTAAGAGCAATTTATACCTAATAATGAGAAAATTGCAATTTTGGTTCTGTATGTTATCAACTATAACTTTTTGGTTTTGTTGTTTCGAATTTCGTCTTTATGTTTGCAATAAGGTTACAAAAAATGTCATTTTCGCAACAAAAAGGTACCCTTCGAATTGCAAAACCGTTGCAATTTCGTCCTTTATGTATTCTCGGCGGGGACCTTTTTGTGACCCTTTTGCAAACAATAGGGGATGAAAACAAAACAACAATTTGAAGGGGACGAAAAAGTTAGGGTATGAGAAAATTACAATTTTAGTCTAGTATATTTCACTACCCTAACTTTTTTGTTCACTTCGAATTGCTTTTCTGACTTTTCGACCCTTATGCTTGTAGAAAGGTTACAAAAGGGTAGCTTATGTTTTGCAAAAAAAAGTTACAATTTCGTCCCTTATGGTAGTAAAACATCATGGACGGAAAACAAAAATCAATTCGAAGGGGACGAAGAAGTTGTGGTAGTAAAACATATAGGACTAAAATTGCAATTTACTCTTTTTTTTAATTCTATTCTTGTTAACTTCTTTTATTTTTATTTTTATTTTTTTATTTTTATTTTTGGTTGGTTTCTTTCTTTAGCCTGCCTTTTATGAAGCATTTGGGCTGACTGTGGTGGAGGCCATGACTTGTGGATTGCCGACATTTGCGACTTGCCATGGAGGCCCACTGGAGATTATCGAAAATGGGATATCAGGATTTCATATCGATCCATACCATCCAGATAAGGCCAGCGTCCTCATGGCAAACTTTTTCGAGAAATGCAACGAAGACCCGAGCGTCTGGGAGAAAATATCCGAGTCGTCCCTCCGCAGAATTCAAGAAAGGTATGTATGTTAAAGGTTGCATCTCTTTAATTGCGTTAAATCACAAAACTTAAGGAGCAATCGTATTGTGGAAATTTTTTCCGAATTGAATTTAAGGTACACATGGAAGATCTACTCCGAGAGGCTGATGACTTTGGCCGGAGTGTATGGATTTTGGAAACACGTCTCGAAGCTCGAGAGGCGCGAAACTCGCCGGTATCTTGAGATGTTCTACATTCTTAAATTCCGCGACTTGGTGAGTTTGTTCGGCCAAGCGCATCCTTAACCAGTAATAACTACAATTTAGAGCTAACAAAATGTTTATTTCTTACCCTTATTTTTTTTCTGCCTGTTTGTTGTCAGGTGAAAACTGTTCCTTTGGCTGTGGATGGTTCAACTTAAGGAAGTTTTAAGAGCATAATTTACTAGTATGAGTGAATAAGAAGAGTATGTTTGTTTGCTCTCTTGTCTATATTGAAGTGATCTTGTATTTCAGAGTTATGTAAGCAAGATTTCTCACTAAAAGATGTGTAATAAACTTTATGGCTACACAAACTGTTGAGAACAATTCGAAATCGGCCCCAAGACGAACTACCGTAGGGGGTTTATTAAAACCATTGAATTCAGAATATGGTAAAGTAGCTCCGGGGTGGAAAAAGTTCTTCCATTACTTTCCTATGAAAAATGCAATATTAGATTCAGGGCTAGCAATTGGATATTTGAGGATCATAAATCCAAATTAAGTACATGTCTAGGACACAACAATACAAGCAAATTCAGATTCCCTTTTGGAGACCATAAATTTCAAAATAAAACAAACAAAAAAAAAATATTACAGAAATAAGAGTTTAATTTCTCATGTGGCTGTCAAATTAGGGTAAAACGGCACACTGGTCGCCGGTAGCCACTCGCTCCCCTGAATAAAATTGTCGACTGTGAACTGCCCGGCCTCTTGGGAGCTATTGATCACCCGATATCCCGGCCACGTTACCCTCGCGCTTGTGTTCGCCCCGGGCCCACGGTTCCTATACTCCCCATAGTACAACGTGTCGAGCGCAAAGTCCCCGTCCCACTCGAGCCATCCCCTCGGATGCACGACCTCCTCCATCTTGGAAAGCATGAAAACAGTTCGGGAATACCTCTTCCACGGCCGGCCGAGGTAAGTTCGGAACCGAGATAGCACGGGGAGGAGATCGG